ATATTGGTATAAACCCTTACAGATATTGGTTGTGGTATGTTTCTGGGACTCCCAAACTAGTTGCAGTTGCAGGTGCACATAGCTCACATTCAGCTTTGTGAAGGATAGAACACTGGTCAATTTTGTATATAAATCCTGTATGCGAGGGCCTATTTATCCAGCTGTGAGAAGCTGATTGCCTTTCTGGGGATTTTAAGCAAATGGTAATGTGACCCATTAGGCTTCACAATAGATACAAATGGTGCTGCACATTCCACAATGTTTGCTGGTTTGATGATTCCTTCACTCTGCAGCCTCTGATTTCTGCCCCTGCTTTTGCATGTAAGACAAATGGCATTGGGAGGCCTTGCAGAATCACAGAATTACTTCCTGGTCAACATGCAATGTGGCCTTGGCTCCTTTGATAATCCCTCGACCTTGCTGAAAGACCTCTGGGAATTTAATTAGGACTTCACTCAGGCAGCCATTTTTTAAGCGAAAAATATTGAGCCGATCAAGGTGAATCTCTCTCAAAGAAATCCGTCCCATCAAGCTTCGGTCCGAGTCTTTTTTTTACTACAGTACAGTGCACCAACTGTTGCCCATAGGAGTCTGGAACGAAAGTCGTACACTTAATCTGTAATTGTTTCCTGGTATATGTTCTCACTCTGGCCAAAGTCTTGCATAAACATGAGTCTAGAGTGAATTTTGTTAAAGATTGGTTCTGCAACCACTGATATAACTGCACCGATATTGACTTCCATCGGAACTGGGTGACCAATCAACCAGAGATTTATTATGATTGGTTCTGATTTGATGTTGCTAATCAATTTAACTCCTCCAAACCACATGTAGATAGACTTTCCAGGGTGTGCACTTGCCTGGATATACAGTCTTATGTGTCCTCTTACTGAAGTCAGGCATCGTAGGACTCTTTCGCTGTCTCGAGTCCACGTACCAACAGCGACTACAAAGGCTTGCTGGGCTAGATCCTGAAGAACATTTTACCTATTTGGCTGAGGCCTGGCTTTGGGTATTGCTGTGGGCTGACTTAGGGTCCCTCTGCTCCTGCGTGAGGCTCTGCCATTGCCTATACTCAAGTGATGTTCCCTAAGCTCAGTCAGACAAGTGAGAGTGTCCACTTCCATTGGAATGCCCTGTAGCTCACATGCTCCATTTTCTGATGGCAAAACCAGTTGAGCGCCTGTTTGATGTCCACTTGGGACTCACCAAGTAGGTACTTTTGCATGGTTATGTCATTCATCCCATGGACCAAATGATTTCTCAGCATCTCATTCAGGATTAACCCAAAATCAAGTGCCTCTGCCAGTCATCATAACTTCATTAAAAATCCCAACACAGATTCCCTTCATTCTCAGACTGCTGAATAAAACTGATAGCATCTCAAAATTAGAGGCAACTTGGGACCATAATATTCCTTAATTAAATCAGCCAACTTTTGAAAGGTTTTAGTATCTGGTGCCTCAGGGAAAGTTAGGCTGCTAATAACCAAAAATGCTGCAGGTTTGCAAGCAGTCAGAAGAATTACTGGTTGCTTTTCCTCTACCCCAGTGTCGTTCGCCCCCCCAAAAAATGCTTTCTTTCCACATACTGGACTCAGTCTTCTGCAGGGTCAAATGAGTCAAGCTTCCCAAATAAAGGCGTGATGCCAGAAATGCTTACCCCAACTCAAAGACAACTGTTGTGAGCAAACTTTCTTCAGAAGTGCACTGTTTTCTGTGATCACCACTGAAATAACTGCACAAGGCAGGTATCCCAAGACCAAGTCACCCTTTATTTACACAGGCACAGTAGGTAGACTCTGCCTAGCTAACTCAGAGCCTGTCCCAAGTGTAAGGAGACTCTCTGAGACCCCTGTTTATATCTATCAGCCAGGGCTCCCTGATTGGCCCAGGTTAGCATGCTAATTAGGGATGTTATGCTCAACGAGATCCACCTAGCCAACTCATTCCAATCACTGCACACACTGTTAATAACAAACTATATTTTATTATTATTTGCTCAGTGACTCTGACCAGAATATTTCCTGAATATTTCATGAACGACATTAGACATCGAAGGTTGTAGTCCTTTTTTCAATCAGGTATTAAAGAGGACATTGAACAGCTGATTCGTTCAAGTTCTTGAGGTGTATGGAAGGTCTCCATTGTGGAAACAGTGCACGTTTAGGCTGAAATCTATTTTGTTTTTTGAAAGAGGTCTTGGAGTTTTCCATTTCTGTGTTCATTGTATTTTGAACAGTATTTCCCAACATCCCTTGAATGATTTTTCCTCTCCCTTCCTCATGACCTTAAGATCAGAGAATTGCTTGTTTATCTGAAAGGAGGTTTTGAGCTTGTGTAAAACAACGTAAGTTATTTGTTTTCCCATGAGAGTTGTTATAGTAGGAAGGATGTCACAGTCAGATCCATTATGATTGTACTGCAATTAACCTATCCAGTTGAAGCATTTCTGATGGTCTTGAACTATGCTAATATCAACAGAGAATAAATCTTTCATAAATGTATTGAGTATATTGACTACAGTTTTGTAAATATTTCTTGTGCTTAGCAATTTGATCATCTATTGTACATAGTTTTCTATTGAAGAGATTTGTGAAATGGCATCTCTCCACCTCATCGGTGCAGTGAGATTTATGGGGATAGAACTCTTACTGGTCTTTACTCTTTGTTTTCTTTTTTAAAATTAGGTGGTTGGGTCATGTGGGGAGTATCAAATGATAGATTGTCAAGCTCTGAATGCTGTGTTTTTGCTTCAGTCATGACGCTCTGAGATGTAGATGCTGCCTTTTTAGGATTCGGATCCTTGGATAAAATATGAGTAGTCCCCGAGACCTCTGAATGCACAAATAGAGAAAATATAGACAGGCAGGTGTTGCAATAGTGCACAAACCCCTGTGGAGGTTAATGACCATCACACACTTTTATTCTCATATCACTGCAAAAAGATTTGAGATACAAATATTCAAGAAAACTATAGGCAGAATCCCTGGCTTGTTGGTGATGGGTTTGGAGGCAGAAAGGGCATTTAGTTAGCTGAGATAATAGTGTCCTTGAATTTGACCACTTCTAACCCATCTCTGCTTGAGTTGAACAGGAAGGCCTGTGGTAGACCTTGCCACCCTGCTGCCCATTGAGGCCTTAAGAGGCCAATTAATGACCACTTAAGAGTCTCATTCCACAACTATTGGGATTAACAGTGCTGCAGACAGGCCTGTTGTCATGGATTGTGCATGGCTATTCTAAACATGTTGTCAACTTGTCATCTCGGAGCACAAAAAGTAAAGAACTGTGGCTGCTGGAAAACCTCAGCAGGTCTGGCAGCATCTGTGGAGAGAAAGCAAGGTTAACATTTTGGGTCCCGTGACTCTTCTGTGACCCAGGGTCACTGGACCCACAATATTAGCTCTGCTTTCTCTCCACAGATACTGGCAGGCCTCCTGAGGTTTTGCAGCAATTCCTGATTTATTTGTCATCTCTGAGGTTGAGGCTGAATCAAAGGCACAGTGGCTGATTGAGGCACTGGAACTTGGGAATTGGGTGGGTTAGAGTGTGCTGAAAGCTACATGCCTGCATTGCTGTCAACTCCCCTGTCACACTATCCCTGGGCTCGTCTCCTTGCAAACTACCCCCCAAATTGCATGTAATTGGCTTCAGGTATTGTGGTACTTGTAGCAAAATTGGCCTTGCTACTGCTAAAATAACAACTATTTGTGTAACTGTCAGGAATGGGCACCTGGCATGAAAAAAAAAATCATGGGCTAAATCTTAGTTATTTTGGCCAAGTCCCAAGTGGCATTGAGTTTTCTTTTGGAGGATTTCTCATGATGATGCCAAGCGAGTTCTCTCGCTGTATATTACCAAACTCACCTTACTAATTACATACCCTACCCTTATGGTATCTGTTATGTCCATTTTCTGCTCCATACTACCATTCATCATTCCTTGAAAAATGAATGAATGATCTATTGTTACATATATCTTGTAGATACAGTGAAAAGTGTTTTGTTGCCACAATCCAACGCCACTTTGAGTTACAATAAGGATAAAAAGAAATTACTTAAGTAAGAGTACTCTGTTCAAATAAAAACAGAAACTGTAAATCAGAAACAAAAACAGAAGTTGCTGGAAAAGCTCAGCAGGTCTGGCAGCATCTTTGAAGAGAAATCACAGTTAATGGTTCAGGTCTGGTGACCCTTCTTCAGAAAATATTTAACAAAATTGTAAAATATTGTTCAAAATTCTGATTATTAAAAACCTTACTTTGAAAGTTCTTTGGGAATGTATTTCATGTGGCTCCTCAGTTCAGGAGCATTGAAAGGCCTTGCACTGTTTAATTCAGGGAAAAATTAAGGATATTGTCCAAGTACAAAGGGAGATGCTGAAAGAGATCAAGGACTGACAGTAAACATAACATTAAGCCAGTTTTGCTGAAGCTGTACTGTGGTATGAACAGGGTACAAATAGCATAATCAGTTCCAGTCATATGACCAATTCCAAACCTGGAAATATTCAGACAAATGCCACAACAGAGTGTCCAAGAGAACAGAGATTGAAGGTTGCAGATCCAATTTAAAATGAATAATTAGCAAAGTGAATTGGACCCTTTTTAATACTCTGCCCAACAGTATAACAGGTTCTGGTGACTCTCTGATGGTCAAGTTTAACTGTCTGCATACCAGGCATACTCTAGATGTGGGGATTTCTCATAAGATATTAGATATGTTGTGTTTAATTCATTTGTGATACAGTTGGGCCAGTGAGACCTATCAACCAAGTTGGAAAACTTAAATGATTTACGTGTTTTGCCCTGACAATGGGTGTCTTTCCTTCAATCTGTATTGGTTTAAAATTTCCATTTTATTATATGTGATGTCTATAGTGGGTTCTGGAGAAAGGATCGTCTATTAAAGGTGGTTAAAATGGAGAATTATTCAAATCATTGCAATCGAAGGTTCACAACAGTTATATTTAACGAAATTTATTTGGATTCTTTTGTAGGATGAAGAAAATGGAAATGGAAAAGGTGAGTCTTACTTTAATTATTTTTCCAAAATATGCCATTGTCAAAATTAGCTGCTGCTGTGTGGATGGTGATGCTTAGCAACTTTAGCCAGAGGAAGTAGTCAATGGACTGTTTAGTCGATTTTTTTTGAAAGATGTGAATTTTGGGTTTGCCTCAGAGTTGTTGCCCATACTTGTAGAAAGCATTGATTAACATCATCTATCTGATCATAATGTATTCCATAAACAAAAGCTTGAAATGAGATTAAACAGAATCCAGACAGTCCCCGGGTTATGAATGGGTTCTGTTCTTGAGTACCTGCATAAGTTGATTTGTATGCAAGTCAGAACACACCACAAATAAAATATCCATTCATAAGTACATATGAATGAGTGTTGGATTGTTAAAATGAATAGTATTATGCAATCTCATTTGTTAGTACAAGTGTTCATAAGTCACGGACCCCTATATAATGGTTACTTCCAGATGGCTGCTATACATTGGTGCCTCAAGTTACAATGACTGAACTTGGATTAAAATATTTTATGTTTGGCATTTAACTGCTTAGACATAATGGGGTCAATTTTCAATTTACTTTCTGGATGGAAGTCGGCTGGAACCAATGAACTCTTTTTGTTCGAGGCCATTTGACATCATAACTATGTTTTCATTCAAAACTTGCTAAAGCCTATCTCAAATTTTCCTTCTCTTTTACTGCCCCACTCCTCAAACCTCCCCTATTGCTCCAAATTTATGGAGTTATTGGAATCAATCTTCAATAAGCCTGAGTTCTTTTAATAGCTAAAGCTCTGGTTAGACCACAACTACAGTATTACATCCAGTTCTGGTCACCTCACTTAGTTAGGATGTGAAGAAGGTCCTTGAGAAGGTACCCAAGCCATTTACTGGAATGGTTTCAGGAATGAGGAATTTTGGCCACAGGGTTAAATTGGAGACACTGGCATTGTTCTTGGTGGAGCAAAGGAGATTGAGGGCACATTTGAAGTGTTTAAGATGATGTCAAGTTTGGATGAGGTAAGCAAAGAAAATTTGAATCTTTTAATTCATGGCACCAGGATTATGTGTCACAGATTTAAGGTTTTGGGCAAGCGATGCAGGGGAATGAGAGAGACTGTATATTTTTTTAATGCAGTGAGTTTTAGTAATCTGGAACACTCTGTCCATGAGGGTAATGGATGGTTTTAGAAGGAAATTGGATGGACACTTGAGGCAAAAGGAAGAAAATATGCATGGCTACAGGGATTAAACAGGGAAATGGCACTAATATAAACAAATCACTTTCCCTGGTTAAATGAATTAGGTGTGAATCTCATGCCATATCTGCACTTCTACATCTTGTTAACACTATAGTCTGGATTTTGTGCTCAGTGGAAAAGTAGGGATTTTCTTATATTTGTTAATGGGATTTCAGCTTCGATGCTTAGACCAGCATTTATTTTCTATCAATCCTTAATTGCCCTTGAGAAAGTGGTGCTGAGCTATCCTCATGAATAGCTGCATTCTGTGGGAGTTAGGTACTTTCAGAGTGCTGTTAGAAAGGGAGTTCTGGGTTATAACTTGAAACATTTGCCATTAGTGAAAAGCACTAAAATCAATTTGAGACATATTTAAAAGTTTTAGTGCTAAATAAACAATGGGAGATATACAGATGGGGTCAAGGTCGAAGCTAAAATATCAAGAAGTAACTAACTGTAATACAGTGCCATTAAAGATGGCTGCTGGAAACAGTTTCTATGAAGTATCCTGCAACAGAAATCTCAGTTGTCAGAACACCTCTGCACATGTGCGGATGATGTCATGTGCAATCAGGAGTGAGCTGACATTCAAGATTAATGTTCGCTATCAAACAAGCAGCTTGGGAATCTGAATGCTGGATAAGTCAGCTTTAAATGTAAATTCAGGCCTCATAGCTACAAAAATAACCTGCCTGCTCCAGTGTTTCCTTCAAGGGAAGATAGAATCTTTTCAACTTGCAGATTAACACAAACTCAATTAACACTGTATATAACATACAAAGTACAAAGTCATTGCTGGCTGAAGAAGAACCATGTTTCGTTTAGCCATTCCTTTACCATTCTGGTAGTGGCAAAGATATAATAGTAGAATTGTTATTAATCCCAGCAATCAGATTCTGAAACAACTGCATTTATATTTGAATAATTTCAGACAAACTGATATGGGTTGGCTTGCAAAGCTCTGATCTTGCATTCCAGAGGATTAGAATGTTCATGATCAGATGAATTAACATTGCGAAATTATAAGATTTAGATGCAGAATTGGGACATCGGGCCCATCGAGTCTGCTCGTCATTTGATCATGGCTGATATGTTTCTCAACCCACTGTCTTGCCTTCTCCCCATAACCTTTGATTCCCTTACTAATCAAGAACCTACCTGTCTCTGTCTTAAATACGTTCAATGACTTGGCCTCCACAGCCCTCTCCAGCTATGAGTTCCACCCATTCACCACCCTCTGGCAGAAGAAATTCCTCCTCCATCTTGGATCTGAAGGATCTTCCCTTCACTCTGAGATTCTGCCCTTCACTCTGAGATTCTGCCTTCTGGCCCTAATCTCTCCAACTAGTGGAAATGTCTTTTCCATGTTCCACTGTATTGAGGCTTCTTGGTATTCTGTGAAGTTCAATGAGACCCCCACTCATTCTTCTAAACTCAAAGTACAAACCCAGATTCCTTAACCACTCCTCACATGATAAGCCCTTCATCCCTGGGGCAGTTTTCTTATAAACTTACTCTGGACCTCTTCCAAGGCCAGCACATCCATCCTTAGATACAGGGCCTAAACTGCTCTCAATATTCCAAATAGAGTCTGATCAGACCCTTATATAGCCTCAGCAGTACATCACTGCTGTTGTATTCTAGACCTATTTGTATTCTTGAAATGAATGCTAATGCTACATATGCCCTCCAGTGCCAGCTGAACCTGCATTTTAACCTTAAAAGAATCCTGATCTAAGACGCCCAAGTCCCTTTTGCTGCAGATTTCCAAAGCCTTTCCCCATTTAGAAAATAGTTTACACCTCTATTATTACTCCCAAAATGCATAACTTCACATTTCCCCACATTGCATTCCATCTGCTACTTCTCTGCACACTTTCCTAGCCTGTTCAAATTCTTCTGCAGTCTTGATGGCTCCTCAAAACTACCTGCCCCTTCACTTATCTTTGTGTCATCTGCAAACTTAGCAACACCCTCAGTTCCTTTGTCCAGATTGTTAATGTATAACATGATTTACAGTGGTCCCAATACTGACCCCTGAAGAACTCCACTAGTCGGTGGCTGCTATCCTGAAAAACACCCCTTTAATCCCCACTGTCTGCATTCTGTTGGTCCGCCAATCCTCTATTCATACCACTACCTTGTCCCTAACACCATGGGCCCTTATTTAGTATCCTCAAGTACGGTACCTTGTCAAAGGCCTTCTGGAAATCCAACTAGATCTTGTCCACTGATTCTCCTTTGTCTACTTTACTCATCACCTCCTCAAAGAATTCAAACAGATTTGTCAAGCATGACCTCCCCTTGGCAAAGCAATGCTGACACATGCCTGTTTTACCACGCACTTTCAAGTACTCCACAATATCATCCTTAAAAATGGTCTCTGAAATCTTACCACAGACTGAGGTCAGGCTAACTGGCTTATAATTTCCCATCTTCTGCCTCCCTTCCTTCCTTATACAAGATGTTTCATTAGCCATTTTCCAGTCTTCTGGGTCCCTCCTTGACTCTAGTGTTTCTTGAAAGACCACCACCAATGCCTCAACAATCTCCTCACTATCTCCTTAAGAACACTGGAATGTAGTCCGTCTGGTCTGAATGATTTATCCCTTTCAGACCTTTCACCTTCCCCTAGCAGATTCTCTTTAGTAATAGCCACTGCAGTCACCTCTGCCACCAACTGTCTTGAAGTTTTGGTATGCTTCCACTGTGAAGACTGATGCAAAGTACCTATTTGGTTCCTCTGCAATTTCTTTGTTCCTCATTTTCAAACAATCCAATGTCCACTCTTGCCTCCCTCTCTTACCTCTTAGATATCTAAAAAAATTCTCTTGCAATCTTCTTTAATATTACTATCTAGCCTACCCTCATACTACTTCATCTCCCACTTGTTGTGTTTCTGGTTGTGTTTTGGTTTTAGAGACTTCCCAATCCTCTCTCTTCCCATTAATCTTCACCACAGTGTATTCTTTTTCTTTTGCTTCTATGCTGTCCCTGACTTCCCTTGTCAACTATGCTTTTCTAATTCAAACTGAAAGCAAAAAGTGCTGGAGATCATAGCGGGTCAGGCAGCATCCATGGAGAGAGAGAGCAAGCTAATGTTTCGAGTCTAGATGACTCTTCATCAGAGCTGAAGTGAAGTGTGGAGGGGGCAGCATTTATGCAGTATGGGGGGTGGGGGGGTGGGGGAGAGGGGTTTGGTGTGCTGGGGCAGACAGGATGTTGATAGTTCAGATTAAGTTTGAATGTGAGAATGGCTGAACAATAGGCTAACTGCCAGACTGGAAAGAGCAGACTGTCCCACTGGAGTGGAGGGAGGAGAGAGAGGACATGGTGACAGACAATGTAACAAGGGAAGGAATGGGTTCACATTTTGAAGGTGTTGAACTCAATATTGAGCCCAGAAGGTTGTACGGTGTCTAGTTTGAAGATGAGATCTTGTTCTTCCACTTTTTACTGTGATTCACTGGAGCATTGCAGCATGCTGAGGACAGACAAGTGGGCATGCGAGCAGGACACTGTTAAAATGACTGGCTATTGGAAGGACAGGGTCATGCTTGTGAACAGACCTGAGGTGTTTTGCAAAGTGATCACCAGTTTGCGTTTGGTTTCTCCAATTTGGGGTAGGCCACATTAGGTGCAGTGAATACAATACTCAAGATTGGAGGAGGTACACGTGAAATGCTTCTTCACCTGGAAAAGACTGTTTGCACCCTTGAGCAGGGAGGAGGTAAAGGGGCAGGTGTTGCATCTTCAGCAGTTACATGGGAAGGGGGTGTTGCATTGGTGGTAGAGGAATGGACTAGGCTGTCTTGGAGAGAACACTCCCTGCGAAGTGCAGACAGCAGGAGTGAGGGGAAGATGTGTTTGGTGGTTGCATTCTGCTGGAGTTGTCTGAAGTGGCGGTGAATGATACTTTGAATGTGGAAGTTGGTGGGAGAATGAAATGACAATGGTTTTCTCATCCACCCTATGATGTGTCTTCTTCCTTGCAATGCAATTCTGCTGTCCTTTTCGAATTAACCCCAGAAATTCCTGCCATTGCTGCTGCACTGTCTTCCCTGTCTTACCTCGATTTGTGCATCAGTTCATCTGCCTTATTCCAGTGCTTTATGCATTAAGATACAAAGCCTTTATTTTTGTTCTATTATCAAGTTTCCCTATACTTATACAATATTCACATAATCCATCTCTTCCTTTTATTTGCTGGTAACAGTTAACTCCATCACTATCCAGTAATCCTACCTTCTCCATTACCTTTAACTTTACAATTTTCCATTCAATTGAACACACCCCCACTCAATTTAGTTAAAAGCACTATCTACAGCTCTAGGTATTGCAACTCTTTAGGACTGTGGTCCCACTGATTCAGAGTCCATCTCTTTAAAACAGCTCCCTGGTACTGGTGCCAATGTGCTCTGCATTTGAATCCGCCTTTCCCACACCAATCTTTTAGCCACGTGTTTTCCCCTTTAATTTTGTTGACCTGTTGAGCCACCAGTTATTTCAGTTGTTATGTCATTTCTGCATGGAGTCCTTATTACCAGTTAGCTTAATAGTATAACTTTATGAACTGGTCTTGTTTTACTTCGCAGGTCATCAGAAAAGTCGAGCAGAGCCTATGGATACCATCTTTGTTAAAAGTGTAAAGGAAGGGGGAGCAGCATATCGTGCTGGTTTATGTACAGGTAATAGTTGAGGTATCATTCTTGTAAATCTATATTGTACTTCCTCCAAGGCCAATGTATTCTTCCTAAGATCTCAGCCCAGGTCTGCTCTCAGTATTCCAGTTTGAACCTGATCAGGGTTTTGGGTAACTCCTGCATAACTTCTACATCCTTATGCTCAAGACCTCCTGATATAAAGGCCAGCATTCCATTAGCCACATTGATTATTTTTTGAACCTGTTTGTTGCATTTTGAAGATCTAAACACCTGTACCCTCAAGTCTCTTTAGACATCCACTGTATTTAACTTCATACTATCAAGAAAATACCTTGATCTATCCTTTTTTTGGCCCAAAATGGATAACCCCACACTTTTTTACACTGAACTCCATCTGCCACAGTTTTGCCCTTTAATTTAATCTGTCAATATCCTTTGTAATTTTATGCTATCATCTACACTGTCTACAATGCCACTTAAGTTTGTCATCAGCAAGTTTGGACAAATGGCTTTTATGTCATTATCCAAATTGTGAATAAATAATGTGATTAATTGAGACCCTAACATATATCCCTGTGAGACACCACTGGTGATATCCTGCCAATTTGAGTAATCCCATTAACCCTACTTTCTGTCACCTGCCACTCAACCTACTTCCCAATCATGTTAATAGTTTGGCCTCTATTCCACGGGCTTCTACGTTGGTTAACAATCTCGCATGTGAGACTTTATCAAGGACTTTTTTAAAATATCTGTTGTAAGTCCATATAAACAACATCCATGGACATTCTTCTGTCCACTACTTTAGTCACCTCTGCAAAACATTCACTGAGGTTTCTCAGGTATGACCTACCTGTCATGAATCCATGCTGGCTCTCTTGATTAATTGAAAATTTTCAAGGTGTTCAGTTACCCCATCCTTGATTATAGGCTCCAACAATTTCTCCACCACAGATGTTGGGCTAATGGTCTGTAATTCCTTGGTTTTTCTCTTTAACCTTTCTTGAAAGGCAGAGTGACATATGCAGTTTTCCAGTCCAGAGGGATGACTCCTGTATTTAGGGAACTCTGCAAAATTATAGTTAGGGCATCTATTAATGTGCTTCCTCTCTTCTTTTAACACCCTCAGATGGAAACCTTCAGGTCCTAGGGATTTGTCACTCTTCAATTCTATTCATTATCAATGTTTTACTTGCATTGATTTTATTCAGTCCCTTACCCCAATCCACTGTTAATTTCCTTGGGATTTTAAAATTCTGGGGCAAAGTTGTTATTCAACATACCTGCCATTTACTCATAGTCATTGACAGTATCCCCATTTTCATCTTTAGTGGACTAATATTGCTCCTGACTACCTGCTTTCCCTTTATACAACTATAAAATTTCTTCTTCTTGATGTCTCTTGGAAGTTTCCTTTCATAATCCCTTTTAGTAGCCCTTATAAACTGCTTTGTGGCTCTTTGCTAGTCTTTATAACTTTCCCATTTGGCAGGATCTGTGCTTTTTTTTCCCATTTTTGTAAGCACTTCCTTTAATGCTGCCCTTTATCCTGTTAGTTTGAGTTGTCCTTGGCTGTTCTTTTCTGTGAAGTAGAGCTTTTTCCCCTCAGGTATAAAGTAGTTCATTGTGCTCCAATATGACATTTAGAAATGAAAATGTATTACTACTTCTGAGTCAGATACATTGGTGATTGAATCAACATAATTATACTGATGGTACAATTGGTGGAGTAGTGGGGTCCAGTGATCCTGGCTGAAAGTGGTGATTGGAAGAGGATTGAACTGTTGTTATGTCTCTCATGGTTAAATAGCTTGGTCACATTCATTGAGCTTGTACATTAAAGAATTGTCACCTGTGCCAAGGCATGAAAGGCTGGCTGCAGCCAGTAAGATAAGGAGAAATGAGAGGAAGAGAAACAATACTCACTTTGAAGAACTGCATGCTTGTACAGCCATAGTATTTTTTTTGAAGTTGCCCAGCACTGAGAAAGTGCCCATCTATTTTCTTTGGGGCTATCTGGTTGCTTTGTCATGAGTCCTGAATAGAGTCATTTTGTGAATCATTTTTGGCACAGAGCAGAAAGCCAGACACATAACAGGAATGTAAAAGTGCAATAGTCATTGTCAGTTCCATTAAAACACATAATGTAGATCTCCATACGGAATGTATTTTTATTTAAATTGATAAAATTAGGGGTTCAGCCTATCTGTGCATTCTTTGAAGCTGGTAATTTGAACTTAATCTGCATGTCATCCATAGAAAAGGTACAAAGCAACATTAGTAAAAGGTATTTTAATAGTTTTGTCTAGCTAGGATTCCTATCTGTGGACTTGTTGCCCATAGTAAATAATATTGCTTTGCAATTTTATACATTAAAAAACAGTTACTTTGCATTGTAACTGATTTCTGGATGATTAGTAAAGCTAAGTTATATTTATGGAAAAACTCCATGCCAAAATACTTGTAATTTTTCCTGTTCTAAACAACAGAATTTGTAATTCAGTTTCTGTTATGGGCTCATGCAGCAATGTAATATCAAAGATAAATTTTTGTTTCATCTATTTATCTCTCACCTCCAGTGGCTGAAGATTTGCGCACCACTGAATATTGGAATAGAGGTAGATAAGGCACAAAACATACTGGTGGAGGCTGATGAGCAGGGTGAATGATGCCAATCTCCCTGCCAGCCATATTAACCAAGGCAGGGCAATTGCATGGTTATGATCTTCACCTGATCCTGGTTAAGGCCCATTAAGATACTTGGAAAGCCAATTTGTCTCTCTTGGCATTTCTTTGCAGACAAAGATATTTGGGAAGATTGAACTCATCAGTTGCAGGCCGTCTGGTGGCTCATCAAGCATATCCATGACTGGCAGATTCTCCTGCAATGGGTGTAAGTGAAGTGTGGTCATTGCTGGGCCCAACTGGATCTAGCCCTCACCTCCTTTTCTCTTTCATGCTGGTTCTTTGCTCAGTCTCAAAGGTGCCTATTAAACTCCCAAAGTAGTATCTCCAGGCGTTACAATCTGTGGCCTGTGCTTCTGACTAGTGATGGTTGATGTGGCAAACAGAGTGAGACTGCTTAAGGGAGTGCCATCTGATCTGTTTGTGCCTTTCAAATTGGTCTTGGGAGGTGACAGTTGTCCATCCGGGCAGTGTTACCTGCTGATGCTTTGCAGAAGGGTTGCCTTGAGGGTGGTGATGTTGACTGTTTCATTGTTTGTGATGCAGTCCTGGCCGTGGATCTTGTTGCTGTGGAGTTGGTGCTGATGCAAGCACTGTAGAAGGCATATATATGGTTGTGGTACATGACCCATAACTCAGCACCGTACAGAAAAGTAGTGAGGACTTTGGCTTTTGTAGCTTTGCGTTTGGCCTGTACTGTAAGGCTGCAGTTTGCTCTACACTTGTTTGCAGATTCTGTCAAAGGAGTTTTAAAAAGCCTGTTGTTTGCTTCCTTGTCTATAGTGGCGTCAAACAAGATAACATCCTCCAAACTGCTTGATAACATTCAGCTTGGTTCCCTTGATGGCAATGCTTTGTCTATGGTGTTCTATATTTTACTTGTGTTGCAGGCTGATGCAAGATTTCTGTTTTCTTTAAACTAACTTTTAATCTGAATTGTGTTGTTGAAATCGAGTTGTTACTCTTTGCTAGTCTGACTGTGGTGCAGTCATCAGTGAAAAGAAGTTAATGAATGAGTTTTTCCTGTGTCATTGAACCTGAAGATATCAGAGGCTGAAAAGACCTCTATCACTCCAAAAGAGTATGTAAACTCTGCTTAATGTCTCCTATTGCCTGCTGCAGCATTACGCTGAAAACAATAGTGAATAAGGTCAAGGCCAAAACACATCCCTGCTTCATGCCTTTGGAAGTTTGGAAGGGAGTAGAGAGGTCTCTGTCATGCTCAACTTGATTGTACTGATTTTTATGAAATTGCTTCATCATGGCCATGAAACACATTTTCAAGAATTCTCCCAAGTCCACTTCTCCTCAGTGTCCAAAGCCTTGATGAGGCCCATGAAAGTGATGTTCAGGCCTTTGCTTTGCTGTAAACACTTTTATTTGTCTTGAGTGCAAATGCAGTGGCTCTGGTGCATTTGTTGGCTCTGAAACCACATTGGCTCACAGAAGTTTTCTTTCACAATGGTAGACACATGTCTGTTCAGAAATATTCTAGCCAGGATCTTCCCAACAATAGAATGGAGAGTAACTCAAGGTGGTTGGAGCAGTCTGATTTTTTTCTTATTTACTTTTGTACAAGGTGAAGACAACACCATCACAGAGATGCTGTGAAATCCTACTCTGTTTCCAGCAGGCCATGAAAAGCTCATGGACATTGGTATGTCGGGTAGGGACACAATGCTTCAAGGCTTTAGTCAGAGGTCCATCAAATCTGTTGGCTTCATTGCAGATCATTGTGGAACCAATCAAGAAGCAGGGGAGTACAGGGTACAAAAGTTATTTAGGGAAAATTGGTTGAAAAGAGATGAGTACAGAGTGGGAAATCAGTTGTATCAACCTGAAGAAAATCCCTTGGAGGCACAGTGTTTTAACAGTATAGTGGGATACTCAGCCCTAGAGAAACGGGGGCCCTTGGCATTGCATAGCTGGTAAGGTGCAAGCTCTTGGGCATTGTCATTCTCTGCCATTACACAAGGGGTGGAGCAGAATGCAAACTGCGTAAGGCAAATTGACAATCAGTTAATCACAAGCAAGGTACTGCTGGCAATGGGGATAAAACTCTCAAATTTTGGATCCAGCTTTGAAGGGTAACACCCCTCTGCAGTAAGGGAGGAGTCCTGGCATCATGAGTACAGGGCAGAGAAGCAAAGTGTGGGGAGGATCTGGAGACCAAACTTCCTATATAGGATCTACTGCCAAAAAAGGAGCTCCCTGAAGGAGACCAAAACCCAGTGTAGCAGGAGCCTGCTTCTCTTTGGACTTCTGTGTCCTTGATACTGTCACCACCTGTCCACATACCAGCCAGTAGTTGTTTGTTCTTATAACCTTGAACTCCTTCACTTTTAACCTCTTCCAAGAATCAGCTGCGTACTTTGGCACCTTGCAAAACACTTCACACCACTGCATTTCTGTCTAAAAGATGCACTGCGGCAACTCTTTAATCCTCCTTTGACATTACCTTCTAAAGCTGCAACTCTACCACCAAGAAGGGTAAGGGCAGCAGTTAGATGGAAACACCACCACCTGGAGTCATCTCTGTTCTATACGGAGCCAGAATTCCACTGTTGCACTGCCCAGCTAGTCCTTGGATAAAGTATTAGGTAGACCAATGCAAATGTTCACAGCTGCAGTGGTGCCTCAACTCAGCAGCATTCTGTTGTGCCAATGCATTTGCGCTAATGTAAAACTACAAAAGGTGGCTATCTGCTGAGTACAAGGTGGATGATTCAGCTGTGAGAACTGTTTAGAGGAACCTTGCAGTACACAACAGCGCAGACATCGAGACTTGTGGTGGTCTGCTGCATGCTGCACAATCTGTCACCATCATGAGGGTGTTGTTGCCACCAGTTATAATGAATGGAACTGAGTAGCAGGTGCTCCTAGGAAGGGGGAGTGGAGGAGGCTACCTAAACAGATCCTTTCTAGCTAGAGTATCAATGAAGACCTCAGATGAGTGTGGTACCGATAATTGCAACGGTAATTTTTCAGTAACCAGCAGTCTATGCCTCCTTTCAATAATTAAACTTCAGAGATTCCACTTGATCACAAAGAAAAAATAAAAGCTACAATGTAAACATTCTAAATCAAATTTAGAAATGAAATAATTCCATGTTACATACAAAAATCATCTATTAACCCTTGCGCCTGCCTCCCATCTGCCTGTGCCTGTTCTCATCCTCCTGCGTAGTTCTACCCAAATGACTATAGCATGTCAGGTGGATGGCTGCAAATTGTTGACAACACAGACTGCATACAGCCATGGAAGACAGTTTGAAGCAGATCTGGACCTAAATGACCCCACTATGGATGCTTTCTTTTTGGGGGCAATTATTCTTGGATTGCGTTTCATCTTAATAACTACCTGATATTTATCATTTATGTATGCAATTCAGTGATTCCAGTATTTCAGAGTTGCTCTATTTGTGTTTTCTAAAAATAGCACATCTGCAATTCCATTACAACTATAATTTATCAGTTTTATGTACGGTGCACATGTTTCTCCACTTGCAAGTTGGCAATAGAAATGAAATGTCTGGTCTCTAATTTTCTATGGCTCCAATCATTGAAATATGTATGTGGGTGTGGGAGGAAGGGAGAGGTAAAACAATTGATGCGTTTTAGAACGGTTTGATGTTTCTTTAATGTAATATTTGTGTAGTGATTGGAGTGAGGGCCAGGTGGATCTCATTGACTGAGATCTTTGATTAGGGTTGTTAATCCAGGCCAATCAGGGAGCCCTCACTGACATATAAGCATGAGATTCAGAGTGTCTCCTCATTTAAGGGACTGGCTATGTGGTGACTGGCAAAAGCCCATGTACTGTGCATGGTAAATAAAGGATGACTTGGTGACGGGATACAGGACTCTCTGCAGTTATTTCAGTTTCACACTACAAATTGTAGGCTATGTCATCAGAAGAGTTTGAAGTATTATCTTTGTCTGCAGTAGAACTCTTGGGCTGAATCTTAGGTTTGTTTGGTGAAATGCAAGTTGTAGTGAGTTTTTTGAAGGGATTCTCACCGTGAGATCCAGCAAAATTTCCCACCAGATCTTACAAAACACACTTCATTAACTCCTATACTACCCCTATGGTTTCCCTCACATCCAATTCTATCCCTTTCTTACCAACCACCATTCCTGGGGCAACTCTCAATCAGCAGATACCCCCACAATGACCAGCATCTCTAGCACCTATGCCATCTTTGAAAGTCCACTGTGCACCAAGTCGAGAGTTGGTTGACCAAAGCTGCCCTTCACTGGCAACAAAATAACAGAGCAGATGCAATGTCAGGCTGCTCACAGTACTTAGCTGATGTGACGGACACTCGCTTGAAAATACAACCCCAATTCTCTCTCACTAGTTGCTGTTTAACCACCGCGCACACAGTTTACCTGACCTTTAACTACATCCCATCTAATCACCCTCTCCAGTTTGCAGCTACTCTTTTCCCCCGTGTCCACTATAGATCCTTATCTTCTTATTGTCCAGTAGGAGACCATCCCGTACAAGTGAGGAGTCTTACAATTTCAAAATGAGCTTTTATTCTCGGCTCCTATCTATTGGAAGTGGGTGGCAGCCAGTTTCTGCCTAGTTTCTGGCATGTTCACTCTGCGTACATTGCAAGTGATAATGAAGGGATTACGAGTTAAATGTATCTTGAATGCCTGCTTCATGTATTTGCCCATTCAGTGTCCTAACATCTTTCAGATGTGGATCTCATGTTTCTGCCGATCAAATTGTCACTGATTTCATTCAACCTGGATGTTATCCCAGTCATTTTCCAGTCACATTTCACATCTAGAGAACAGCAGCGATATCAAGGAACGCAGTTCATGGTGAACACCATCAGCACCATCATCCGCCTCTCAGACCCTCGGCGTTCCCTTTTACCTTGTACTACCCTGATAGCCTATTTCCCCTCACCCCCTTGTGAATATCCATGACATTGAACTTTGTCTGCAACTATCCGTTCTGCTCCCAAAACCCTGATATTGCACCCTAATGATGCTCACAATGGATTTCTGCATTTCCCTGTGTAGACCATAGTAGTAGCTACTGCCAATAAGCATTTCCCTACAATGTCCTCCAATACTGTTCCACTTGCCTCCATATACCTTGAATGCCCACTCATCACTGTACCTGCTTTCTACCTACTCTCTACATGCTCTCCTAAGCCTCACATACTCTGTACATGCTGTCCTAAACAGATGACTAACCGTCACCAAACCTTTGGTCTGTCTTACAGACAAGCCTCCCCTTGTACTGTGGATTGGCCCCCACTTACTTTCCGACATGGCCTGTTGGTTGAATAAATGTGCAGACGGTTTGCCGGGCTTACGGTTTGCACATGCTGTCAGTATTAGATTGCTATTTCGGTGTGCTGTGGATAAAGAGGATCACCCGCCCCTCCCGAGACAAGTCCCAGCTGACCAGCATTAGAAGCAGCTTGTATGTATATCTGCACAAATGAGTGACAATATGGCAGTACAGGTGGCTTTTGGCTCTGGCTAAAGCCTCATCATGCTAACTAGCATGGTACACATGGCAAGGCATGGATGCTATGAGCATACAGATAGACACTGAGTGAGCAATAAGAGAGCAGTGAGGAGCCTTGAGATGCAGCCTGGTTCAATCCATGCACTGAGTGCCCTGTCCTGCTCACAAAGTCTTTGCAGCAACCTTTCAATGCTAGTTGCTAGTGCACCTTGCAACACAAAACTGTGCTTCCTAAGCATTCTGTAAGTGGATCTGAGAGATAACATTACGGTCATGAGGGGTGGGCAATTGTTGGATGCCAGTATCCATGGATGAGGGGTACCTTTGGCCTGTGGATCATGCCCTGAGATACAGGTTAGTGCGGAACAACATGGAGGTTCCTTGCAGTCAGCAACAAGCTAAAGTTGCCAAATAACCGTTCTCACTTCCACATCAAGAATTCTCAACATCTAGTTTGTTTGACACATTTAGTTAGATATTGATGCATGATACTGCCATATTGACACTAATTTGTGCAGATATACATACAAGCTGAATATTAATGAGGTGAGTTGGATGTTTAACTAATAGGATGTTTAACAAGCTATAATACCTCTTACTTGGTAATTCACCACAGACTAACAAGAAACTTGCTTCACTACTTAGCAGCTGCATAAAGTATGCAGCGAATTGCTCTCCAGGCCTCACTGGAATTCTCATGCAATTCTGCAATGAATCATCGTTCAGGCCCCTATAAGATTCCACCCATTGTATATTTGTATATTTCATGGAGTAACTTCTTCGGATATTAAAAGATTCTAATGCATTCGTTCAGTATAGGAGTTGGGATGTCATGTTGCGGCTGTACAGAACATTGGTGAGGCCGCTTTAGGAATACTGTGTACAATTGTGGTCGTCCTTCCGTATGAGGGATGTGGTTAAACTTGAGGGGGTGCAGAAAAGATTTACAAGGATGTTGCAAGGACTAGAGGATTTGATCTACAGGGACAAGCTGAATAGGCTGCAGCTTTTTTCCCTGGAGCGTCAGGGGTTGAGGGGTGACCATATAGAGGTTTATAAAATCATGAAGGGCATGGATAGGGTGAATAGCCAAGTTCTTTTGCCCAGGGGAGGGGAGTCCAAAACCAGAGGACGTAGGTTTAAGGCGAGAGGGGAAAGATTCAAGAAAGGACATGAGGGGTAACTTTTTCACGCAAATGGTGGCGTGTGTTTGGAAAGAGCTGCTAGAGGAAGTGGTGGAGGCTGGTACGATTACAACATTTAAAAGGCATCTGGATGGGTACATGAATAGGAAGAGTTTAGAGCAATATGAGTCAAATGCTGGCAGTTGGGATTAGGTCAGATTGAGATGTCTCACCTGCGCGGGTGAGTTGGACCGAAGGATCTGTTTCTGTGCTGTAAGACTCTGTGACTCTATCTGAATAATGTTGTTTTTAGGGGGATATAACTGCGCATGTGTTATAGAATATGTCTGAAACTTTACAAATAAAACAGCCTTTATAATAGTTAATGCACTTTTTTGAACTTAATTTCATACTGTTTCTTTTGAACTTATCTTGCATACAATTTTCTGCTTGGTTAAAGGAAATGATATCTTCAAAGTTTTAAAGTTCACTGTTTGAAATCAATATTTCTTTTTTGGAGGTGATCGTATTGTGAAGGTGAATGCAGAAAGTGTAATTGGCAAAACGTATTCTCAAGTAATATCCCTAATTCAGAACAGGTAAGTTAACATATTAAAATATTTGATTTTCACTATATTAGCAGTCACTGCCATGCAGCTACATTCACCCAGAATCTATTGCGGCAATGTCTGCAAACTTCTTAATGTAATACAATTGGCAATCAACAGGAGATACTTTCATGCAGTTAAGAAGGGCCTTTCCTCTCTGCTTTTAATATTCACATAACGGCTGCTGCAATTGCACTTTGGTGAATAATCCTGATTTCAGTGTTCTTGGAATTCTTGATAAATCTAATACACAGTTTGCATGCAGGTCCTCAGCAGCCTTCCTAATAGTGAACCAGATTTGGTGTGCTTTGTGCGTGCCAGTCTCTCATTTCGGCAACTGGTAACTCAGAATGTTATTGCATTAGCAGTCCTATTGCTTGTGGAATGTTTGATTATCTCAACTGTGCTTTTCACATTATCCCAATCCCATCCCTCGACAAATATTAGACTGTTACTTTTGGGCAGCTAATTGGTATATTGTCAATTGTTTTTACTAGTTCTTTCTAGGGATATCATTGTTAGCAGTAAATAATTTATTTGTGTTATTGTTATGTTTTCCTTTTTAGGAGTCCTATATCTCAATAATTTAATTTTTATGACAGATCTACAGATTCAAATATAAAAGGTATCAATCTATGCCATTGTTTAGATTTTGTGAACCATATTTTTTTCTCTCCTCTGTATTTAGTGAGGATGTGTTGGAACTTTCAGTAATGCCCAAAGATGAAGACATTTTGCAGGTGGTAAGTTATGAAGCTTTTTTCTTTTTTCCTTGTGTACAATCAGTTAATATTCATAAGTTCTGACTCCTTAAGTGAAACAAAGGCTATCTTGATCTCCAGTTTTAAGTTTACGGCAGGAATACTGTTGGTGTTTGCCAATTACAATTAAAATAAAATACAGCTATCTGGATGAGATGTAAAATTGGTTTGCCGTAGTCCATTGAAATTATTGTAAAGATCATACAAGAAGTTCTGGGATTTAGATGCTTTAAAAGAAATAGGTAAAAGAGGCAAGGGAATGGCATTGCTAGTCAGGGCGAGTATAGCAGCTACTGAAAGGCAGTTCGAGAATGATATGTCTATAGAGTCAGTTTGGGTTGAGGTCAGGAACAAGAAAGGAGCAGTCACTTTGTTGGGGGCTTTTTACAGACCCCCTAATAGTTGCAGAGAAGTGGAGGAGCAGATTGGGAGGCAGATACTGGAAGGGTGCAGAAGTCACAGGGTTGTGGTCATGGGTAACTTCAACTTTCCAAATATTGACTGGAAACTTTTTAGTTGTAATAATTTAGATGGAGCGGATTTTGTCCAGTGCGTTCAGGAGGGATTCCTGACACAGTATGTGGATCAACCGACACGAGGAGAGGCCAGAGACAACACAGAGATGAACACAGCAGGCCAAGCAGCATCATAGGAGCAGAAAGGCTGACGTTTCAGGCCTAGACCCTTCATCAGAAAAGGGGGAGGGGAAGGGGTTTCTGAAATTAATAGGGAGAGAGTGGGAGGCAGATAGAAGATGGATAGAGGAGAGGATAGGTGGAGAGGAAACAAACAGGTCGAAGAGGCGGGGATGGAGCCAGTAAAGGTGAGTGTAGGTGGGGAGTTAGGGAGGGGATAGGTCAGTCCAGGGAGGACAGACAGGTCAAGGGGGCGGGATGAGGTTAGTAGGTAGGAGATGGGGGTGCGGCTTGAGGTGGGAGGAGGGGATAGGTGGGAGGAAGAACAGGTTAGGGAGGCAGGGACGAGCTGGACTGGTTTTGGGAATCGGTAGGGGGAGGGGAGATTTTGAAGCTTGTGAAATTCACATTGATACCATTGGGCTGCAGGGTTCCCAAGCGGAATATGAGTTGCTGTTCCTGCAACCTTCGGGTGGCATCGTTGTGGCACTGCAGGAGGCCCAGGATGGACATGTCATCTGAGGAATGGGAGGGGGAGTTGAAATGGTTCGCGACTGGGAGGTGCAGTTGACTTTGGATTTGGTGCTTGGCAATGAACCGGGCCAAGTGTTAGACCTGTTGGTAGGAGAGCATTTTGGCAGTAGCCATCATAACTCTGTTACTTTTACGATAGTCATGGGAAGGGATAGGTACATACAGCAGGGTAAGGTCTATAATTGGGGGAAGGGTAGTTATAATTCTGTTAGGCAAGAACTGGGTAACATGAAATGGGAACAGATGCTGTCAGGGAAGAGCATTATAGAAATGTGGAGATTGTTTAAGGAATGCATACTGTGTGTGCTCGATATGTTTGTCCCTAGCAGGCAGGGAAGATGCGGTCGAGTGAGGGAGCCTTGGTTCTCGAGAAGTTGAACGACTAGTTAAGAGGAAGAAGGATGCTTATATAAGGTTTAGGAAACAAGGATCGGAACAGGTTCTAGAGGGATACAAGTTAGCCAGGAAGGAACTGAAGAAAGGGCTTAGGAGAGCTATAAGGGGGCATGAGAAAACCTTGGCAGATAGGATCAAGGAAAACCCCAAGGCTTTTTACACGTACGTGAGACATAAGAGAATGACCAGAGAAAGGGTAGGGCCGATCAAGGATTGTAAAGGGAATTTGTGCACGGAGCCTAAAGAGATAGGAGAGGTCCTTAATGATTACTTTTCTTCGGTATTCACAACTGAGAGGGACCTATTTGTAGGGGAAGACAGTGTGAAATAGGCTGGTAGGCTAGAGGAGGTGGGTGCTAGTAAGGAAGATGTACTAGGAATTTTGAGGAACTTGAAGGTAGATAAGTCCCCCAGGCCTGATGGGATTTATCCAAGGATTCTATGGGAAGCGAGGGAAGAGATCGCAGGGCCTTTGGCGATGATCTTTTCGTCCTCACTGTCCAAGGGTATAGAGCCGGAAGATTGGAGAGTGGCAAACGTCATTCCCTTGTTCAAAATAGGGAATAGGAATAAACCCGGAAATTACAGGCCAGTTAGTCTTACTTCAGTGGTGGGCAAAGTATTGGAAAGGGCTCTGAGAGATAGGATTTATGATCACTTGGATAGGCACAGTTTGATTCGTGATAGTCAGCATGGATTTGTGAGGGGTAGATCATGCCTCACAAACCTTATTAAATTCTTTGAAGAGGTGACCAAACACATGGATGAAGGTGGAGCAGTGGATGTGGTATACATGGATTTAAGTAAGGCGCTTGATAAGGTTCCCCATGGTAGGCTCATGCAGAAAGTAAGGAGGCATTGGATAGAGGGAAATGTGGCAGATTGGATTCAGAATTGGCTGACCCTTAGAAGACAAAGGGTGGTAGTGGATGGAAAATATTCAACATGGTGCTCAGTTATGAGTGGTGTACCACAAGGATCTGTTCTGGGTCCTCTTCTATTTGTGATTTTTGTAAGTGATTTGGATGTCGCAGTGGAAGGGTGGATTCGTAAGTTTGCGGATGATACGAAGGTGAGTCGAGTTGTGGATAGTACGGAGGGCTGTTCTAGCTTACAAAGGGATATAGATAGGATGCAGACCTGGGCTGAGAAGTGGCAGATGGAGTTTAACCCTGAAAAGTGTGAGGTGATTCATTTTGGAAGGACAAATTTGAAAGCAGAATGCAGGGTTAACGGAAAGATTCTTGGCAGTGTGGAGGAGCAGAGGGATCTTGGGGTTCATGTCCACAGTTCCCTGAAAGCTGCCACCGAGGTGGATAGAGTTGTTAAGAAGGCATATGGTGTGTTAGCTTTCATTAATAGAGGGATTGAGTTCAAGAGCCGTGAAGTTATGCTCCAGCTATACAAAACCCTGGTTCGGCCACATCTGGAGTATTGTGTCCAGTTCTGGTCGCCCCATTACAGGAAATATGTGGAAGCGTTGGAAAAGGTGCAGGGAAGATTTACCAGGATGATGGAGGGAAGGTCTTACGAGGAAAGGTTGAGAGAGCTAGGGCTTTTCTCTTTAGAACGATGAAGGCTGAGAGGTGACTTGATAGAGGTGTACAAAATGATCAGAGGTATAGATAGAGTGGACAGTCAGAGACTTCTTTCTAGGGTGGAGGTAGCTATTATGAGGGGGCATAGTTTTAAAGTGAGTGGAGGTAGATATAGGGGAGATGTCAGAGGTAGGTTCTTTACTCAGAGAGTGGTGGGGGCGTGGAATGCATTGCTGGAGAGGGTAGTGGAGCCTCATTAGGGGCATTTAAGCGGCTATTAGGCATATGGATGATAATTATAAGGTAGGGGTGGAGGTTACATAGACCTTAGGTTTAGGGTAAAAGTCCGGCACAACATCGTGGGCCGAAGGGCCTGTACTGCACTGTACTGTTCTATGTTCTAAGGAATTTCTGAATCTCTTTTTAACTAATATTTCAAGTTATGTGACAGTTTGGTGGTATACTCTGTTTTAGTTAGTTTTGCATCTTAAAATGCAAGCTTGCTTGCAGGTATTTCAAGCAATTAGGAAAGCAAATGATGTGTCAGTGTTCTTTATTCTTATACTCCAATCCACTTGTAAAAGAAGTCTTGCTGCAATTGTGCAGGGCTTTGGTGAGACCACACTTAGAGCACTGTATGCACTGTTGGCCTTGATTTTTAAGGAAGGATACGCTTCACTGGAGGCTGATTGTTCCCTGGGTTGAAACTGTTATGTGATGAGAGACTAAGTGAAGTTGTCTATGTTCTCTGCTGAGATGTGATCTCATTGAAACGTTGAATGTTAAGAAGGTGCTTCACAAAGTCACAGGATTGTTATAGTGCAGAATAAGGCCATTCAGCACATTGTGTTTGCACCAGCTTTCTGAGCAATTTCTATTCTCACTGCCTTCAATATCCTTGGCTGCATCGCATCCATTTCTGGTACCTTATCAACTTTAAGTACTGACAGCTTATGCAGTACTGTCAATGACAATCTTATCAATTTTAAACCCATTTTGTGATCGAGTTTACTTCTCTGTTACCATGGTCTGAATCTGCCTCATAGATTAAGACAGATGCATTTAACATCTCTCCCTGCATCCTTGTGTAAATCTGCTTTCAGGTTCCTGAGTGGCCTTAGTCCTTTTACCATTAATTACTTTTACTATTTATTTTTATTCGTTCGTGGGATGAGGGAGTCAGTGGCTTGGCCAACATTTGTTGCTTTCCGTAATTACCTAGAGGGCAGTTAAGAGTCAACCACATTGTTTTAAGTCTGGAGTCAAGTGTAGGCAGATTGGGTAAGGATGGTTTTCCTCCCTAAAGGGCATCAGTGAACCAGATCAACTTTTCTGACAATCAAAAATCAATTTGTGGCCTTCATTAGATTCTTAATTCTGAATTTTTTATTGAATGTGTATTCCGCCATCTGATGTGGCGGGATTTTAACCAGGATCCCTAGAACATTACCTGGGGTCTGGATTAACAGTCCAACGATAATCCCACTAGGCCATCGCCCCCTCCCCCCCAATTTATGTGCCTATAGAAGACTTTGAGATTTCCCCATATAGAATCACTACAAGTTAATGTAATTTAAAGTGTTACATTTTTGTGCAGTACGTCATTCTATAGAACACTAATACCCATGCATCCAAAGTGATTTATTTGATCTTTAATCTTTTTTTCTCTGGTTGCTACATATTTGTGATATCCTGACACCCGCAGCTGGACTTGAGCAAGTCTGCTGGCTACTTGTCTGGCTTGCCTCATGTGGTTTTGGTTGAAGTATTCTTATGGTCTAGAGGGCTTCAGACTGCATGGGGCCTCCTACACAGATACAAGTGCGTTATGGAGGCAATGGGGTAACTGACAAAGAGAAGCTTATAGGCAGGGCATGTC